GTCAGAACTGGCGGTCAGTTTCAGCAGCGGCTGAATCTGGACGCCAGTTCCGACTTACATACAGATTCAACTTAAGAACAAACCTACAGTCCCTATCTTGTACGTAACCCGGGGACTGCCTGTATATACACAGACATTGTATGATCTTTACCTCTTCCTCTTTTTGTTGAAGAGTCTGTTTCACATTATTGAACACCTCTCTCTCCTTTTGAAGGGTTTGCTCTTTTTCTTCTAATATTTTTTCTTGATGAATTGTCACTGCATTTTTTAACTTTATCTTCTCCATTAGTGTCTTCATTTCTCCCTGGAGCTTTTTGATAATTTCATTAGCCTATCCAACACACACCCCAAAAATAAAAAAATATGAATATCAACAAACCTGCCCCATAGCTTACATTTAACAAATCCTCATAACATTTAACAAATGCCTTACTTTCACAAGCTCCTCAGAAATAGACTTCACAGTGGTTTCAAGTTTTCTAATTTGAAGTGGTTTTATCGCCAGAGATTCTTCCAACTTTTTCTGAAACATAGTTTTATATTCAACAACAGGCTAATGTCAACATAACCAAATGCTGAAATTTGGTGGTGTTGGTGACTGCAAGACTCCAAGAATTAGCAATGGGGGATGGGAGAGAAAGAGAGTGTGTGCGCATTTCTAGGTCACCAATTAAAATTAGCTCTGTTCAATGGCAATATTTGGCAACTTATAAAGGAAACCCAGTTAACATAGGTGCCAAGACTGTGGATGGTATGGGACTAGTGCAACAGTGGGGGGAATGGCAGATACTCAGCGAATTCCTCTTCTCCCTGGAGGGCCTCCCCCAGCCAATAAGCTCTTCTTCAGCACCTTCCGCTCATTGAGGATCAACTGTTCAGCAACTGACAGGAGGCAGATGCAGGAAGAGGTGGAGGAAGATTGAGGTGCACTTGATGGCAGGGCAGGAAGGTACACTTAGCACAGGGCAAAGTGGAGCAGAAATTGGGCCTTGTGGGGAAGGGATGAAGTGAGGGTGGGGCCTGGAGTGGAGTGGGAGTTGAATGCTACCTGACAAATCAGAAATAGTCACCTCTGCTGATTAAAGAAAACCAAAAACCAAAAGAGTAATCTGAAGGAGCTCCTGATAGTCTGGGTGAGAGCAGGCCTGGTGGAGAAGTGTCCCTCTCAAAAAGCACTCTCTCAATTGTCATCCTTGCTGGCAGACTTAGAAAGGAACCAGGGGCTACACTTGCAAGGAAGACCTGGTGAGACGGGGCACTTTAGAGTAGATCTTCCCTCTCAAGGTTAAGATACATGAGCAGAGCGGCATGAGGAGATATACACTGCTGGTCTGTAAATAGGATTTCAATTCTAAGGCTTTCATGAGCACTGAATTCATGACTGTATTTTTTGGTTTCAAAAGTAAAAATAAACAAACCAATTTGAATGGAACAATGTTGGATTGTTCAGGGTTTAACAGAAACAGTGTTTAAAAACAACAACAGAAAACTGGTAACTGTCAAGGGGAAGAAAAGAATTATAACTACTTGTACAGACTACAGCCTTGCTCCCATCAATGTAAGTGTCCTACTAGTTACAGTGCCCTACAACTTAATTCTTCCACCTCTACAAGAAAAACGGGGCTACACTAACGAAGTGCCCCTGTAGACACTGTTTACTTACCTCTATTGGCTGTCATTCTTGTCAATTTCATGGCTCCTTGCCGGGAACAGGGCAATCACTGATCTGAACTGAGAGTATAAGTGCCTGGCTACCATCCCCTTCCACAGCTTTCAGCTCCTCGCTCCTTCACTAGGAGGAACTGAGGATATATCTAGAGGCACTCTGCATCTTTTAAAGTGCCTATTTCCTGAAATAGCAGGCATGCTATTCCAGTCTCCCTGTAACTCTCGTTCTACGAGGGTTAAGGGATTTGTCGGAATACTGCCTTATTTTGAAATTTGGCACTGGATAGCCAGTGCCAAATTTCAAAATAAGCTCTTATTATTTAGACTTGGAATACACTACACAATTTGTGTATCACACATTGCATAGCTTATTCTGACAAAAGGGTGCTGTTTTGATGCACTCTAAGAAGCCTGGTGCAGCTGCCCCATTCCCCGGGGAGAACTAAGAAGCCTGGTAGGGAGCAGGGAGTATCTGCAAACTATAATCAGCCCTGGCTCTCAGCCTCCCTGCACTGCCCCTCTTAACTGCCTGAAAGCAGTCCTAGTGAGGATGTGCACCAGATAGAAGAAGGGTGGTGGCAGACATGAACCACCACAGCTGTAAGTTAACCCAACATAGGTCAACATAAGTTTATAATACAGACATGCCCACAAACATACGCTGACAAAATAAGGCTTTGTTTTAAATCCATAATCCTCACAGTTGTTCAAAACTGGTTTACTTTCAAAGGGAGTATTTAAAGAAATCATGTGCATGTTTTATACCTCTAAGGAACATCTTTCAAAAAAGATGAGCTGCTATTGCCAACCTTGTGTTCTTGTGCACTTTCACAGACATCTGCACTTATTAGTACTTGCTCTTTATCCTTCACTTCTTGTTCAAGGACAGCAATGCATGTTCTTAGTTGATTCAGTAATTTCTCCTTTTCATGGCATTCTGTGTCAAGAGTTGAATTTTCTCTTCGAAGGGACAGAATTTCTTGTTTTTCCCTCTGATACTCCTATCAGATGAACATTCAGAGGCAAAATAGAAGAACAAATAATAAGTATTTTTATTAAAATATTATGGAAGAATTTTAGAATGAACAACCAAGCAGTCCTCTGTGAGGACTGGAGAGCTGTAGATGAAAAATTAATTAAAAATTATAATGAGTTTGGTCAGCTCTAGCCCAGGGATTAGCCCTTTAAACAGATTCATCTGATATTTCTATTCATTATATTTCTATTCTTCTCTGCCAAAAATTTCCTCATAATCTATTAGCTTCTCTGCAAATCACTGTGGTCCTCACAAAGACCTCCATATGTTTTTATGGTAAATTTACATTTGGATTAAAAGTTTTCTAAGGCAAGGACAGTGTCTTTTTTGTATGTTTGTACAGCACTTGTGTTAATTGGCTACCTCCAAAACATGATAATTAAAAAACAGTAACACAGATGCAGTAATAATAAAGATGCAAGAATAATTTATTGATACACCTAACTATATGATTTTGTTTTTGAAACTAGACACTCAAGTGTCAGTGTTTGGAACAAATTACAGTTACTATAGTTTTGATGTCACTGAACAACATTGGAATATTTTTACACAATAATAGACCTCAAAATGTCTCTAGAAGTTTCTTAAACAAACCTACACCAACAATTGGCCATTTCCTCAAAGGCAATACTACCTACCACTTGCAACACCTGTGTGTGAACACCTGACAATTAGAATTCTATTCAAAAGACAAGACAAACAAAATATCACACTAGCAACATACCAATATTGCTACTGTGATAATGGAGGCCATAGGCACAGTAGAGTAGAGGTCAGAAAATTGCACACAACAGTTAACAGCAGGGAAAACAAACAAAAACTGCACCGTGACTATGATTTAGCCTCAAAGAAACCTGATGATTTTCCATCATTCTTCTTTCAATATACTTTAAAAAAAAAAGAAGGGTCACTTATAGAGTAACTTGTTCATTTTATGGATATATATATATATATATATATATAGTTATGCGAATGGTGGAGGGAGGTAGGGAAGGAAGAGTTTGTCTACTGATTTCAGAATAATTCTCATCTATCTTTTTTCATACGCCTTTGATTAGGCAACCTCCTACATGCAAATGCTTGTGAAAATAAATATATATATCTCAAATCCTCTTAACTGCAAACATGTATCTCTCTCTCTCATCAATTATACTTTTAATTGAAATGGAATAATTGTATATATGGAATGTATAATAAAACAAGATGTTGTCTCATTAGTTAAGCCTAGTATCACCACCAATGGTATATAACAATCATACTATATTAAACAAATTAGATTAAATATCAGGCAAAAATTGTGTCTCTTAACAGTGCCATGGAGTTTGAAAGCTGACAGGTAGAAGAGTGAGGCTGAATATCTCTGTCAATGGGAGAAGGATTTCAGATGAGAAGGAGGACTTTTGTGTTTGAATTAATGGGCTCTGCCATCTTCATCCCCATAGTCACCCCCTCCTATCTTAATAAGTTGCAGGCCTTAACGACAACCTACAATACAGCATGGAGCACTCGAAATATTGGCTTATGCAAAACTAAGTAAGGTCTCATGAGTGGAGATAGCCAGAACTTTTTTTTTTTAAAAATCACTCATACTGTTGCTCCAGTCAGAAACTGCAAACTTTTGCCAGGAAAGGGTTGGTCAGAGTGAAAACTAGAGAAATCCACTTCAAGGGGGTTGGAAGGTATGGAGAGTAGGAAGATAGAGACATACAGACCAGAACAGAACAGCCAACTGAAGCGCGGGAACCCG